TAACTATTATAAATAGGAGCACAACTTCTAGGAGTACTTTTTCACCATATGCACTAAATCTTCACACATTGCCTAATAATTGTGCCCACAGTGTAATAGTGACAATAACAACCTTTTTTAAACAGCTACATAACTGTCCTTCAGAACTCAAGGGAATCCAATGTGTAATGTATTTCAAATTCTAATCATTTCATGAGAAAATGGTTTGGGTGTTAATGGCATCTTTTCTTCAAAGCACGTGGCACTGATGCTGTTTCTTGTGCTTGTTTGTGTAGACTTAGCCTTAACATGAACCAATGTGAAGATGCAATCTTAAATGGCAGACTTCAGCGGGGACACTGTTTTAATCTTCCCTTCTTCATCAACGAATGCCCCATTTTTTAAATTTTTTAAATTTTTTTTGAAAGATAGGAAACAGTAGGTCCCTTTCACTTTCACTGGGAAAATTATTGACGCCAGCACGCTGGGAGCTTTTGCAACACAAGCATTATGTTGCTCACCCGGAAGTATTTAAAGAACAATAAATATTTTGCAAAAGTTAAGAGGAGTGAGGCAAAATTCTGTTTATTTAATAAGTGAATATCCTGGACCTCCTTCTACCTCATGTCAAACAATGGCAACAATATATACAAGTATAGTAATGCAATCTAAATATAGATGATATATTCAGGTGGAATGGATACAGTTACATATATATTACATACTTCAGCAACAGCCAGCATGCAGCCCATGGCTTGAACAGTAGATGTCCAAAAATGATTAAACGTTATGAGCAGAATCTTATGCACATCTACTTGGAAGTAATTTCCATCAAGTTCAAAGGTAAGCCCATTGTGCAGATATTAGGTGTACATAGGATTGCAGCCTATAAGTACCACCCAGATTTATCCAGAAATTAAGGACCCATTAAATGAAATTTGCTTCCAAATAAAAGTGGATTACATAATAAAAAAATCACTCTAAACATAGGACTATACCAGTTCTGAATATGGGTAGCAGTGATTCTTAAACTGTTTGACTCAATTACCCCCTTTCTCAGTCCTGAATACTGTCATTACCCACACCTCCACAGCCCCAAAACCGACTCTGTTGTTTTACACAAGCATCTCAACAATGACAATCCTAAACTGGATCCTCAACTGAGAAACAAGCAATTACAAATTGCTCAATGGCCCCTAGGATATGCCCAAATTATCCCCTTGGGGATAATTCCCTCCTCCACCAGGTTTAAGAACCACTGGGGTAGGGGATAATGTGTTTGAAGTCTTTTCTGGATTTGGAAAACTCTGCACATAAAAAGGTTTATTCAGGGAAAAGGTACCTTAACATTTTTTTCACTACTATATAGCTTTTATGTGAACAATCCTTCAAACCTGTGATCTTCCATACATAGAACACCATATGAAAAATGCACCCCCCCACCCTTTGGATCACAAAATTTGTTACTTAATTGCAATTGTTAATATGACAGAAGAGGAATGTTATTAAAAACATAACAAGAGTAACTATATTTAATTTTGATTGCAGGTAAATATAAATACATTTGATTTTTGATCTGGCCCCATCCACTACTTCTTTTGAACCTCTACCTCACCTAACCCAGAAAAGTTCTTCACTCATAACTTGTAGGTTGAAATAGTACACCTGATGGAAGGAGGAACATGTAATATTTCTGAATTTGGAGTTTAGGATCAGGATGAAAGTTTAGCTTATGGGTGCAAGCAGAGAAGGACAGAAGAGCTGCACTTTTTTTGACAAGTGGTGCTAGAAATTCTCCAGCTGGAAGCACTCTAAATCAACCTAAGATTATCTACATAAAAGTGATTAAAATCTACTTAGAACATTCTGTCCAGTTCACTCAGAGAGGTAGAGAGAGAGATGATAGAGGGCGGATGATAGATGTAAACCACACACACACACACACACACACACAAATTGGTCCTCATACGCTTTCCTTTTTCCTTGAACATAGGTCCTTGCAGAACCCAGCCAAATTGGCAAAGCAAGATAAGGTTCAAAATTTTCATACTAAAAAACATGTTATACATTGAAGCAATGAAAATTCTTAAACTGTCCAATGTTTTTGAAATAAACCTCTCTCCCCCTTGTTTTTGCAGATGTTAATTTGTGAATAAATTAAAACAAATGATGGGGAAATTCAAAGTGCTAGGCATCATCCTGCTACCTTCATATTTTTCCATGATTAGAAAGTTTTTACCTTTTGGGGTATGTCTAACTCAAAATATTTTTCAAATTAATATTCAGGCAAGTTTCATTTATTTCTAAAGTACACCAAGCTTGTAACCACCCCCACCCCCTTATTTATCCATCTATTATACAGTTCTGATTTTTCAATAATAAATTGTCATTATGCAAGAGAAAAAAAAGCTTTTTTTAAAAAATGAAAGGTGGTGTGAAATATCAGTACAAATTACCATTGTATAAATACTCATGATAAGGCAACAGATTCAACGGTATCTTACTGGTATGGTGTATATTAGATTAAAGCATCCAAAATAAGTCAAGACCTTAAAGATATTTCCCAGATACATAGGAACTTACCTTCTCCAACAATGCATTCTGCCATAATCGAAATATATTGAGATAGGTTCGGTCTCTGGCACTGAAGGAAGTGAAGAAAAACTGCAGAACAAAATGATAATTTTCATGGACAATACTGAAAGTAAACTAAAAGCCAGTCAACCCTATTTCAAAGAACAAGATGTCAAGCCAGGACCAACTGATTTTTAGAAGTCTCTAAGAAGGACTAAATTATACAGTAGGCAGCCATTTAAAATCCTATACATATTTAACTCAGAGATAAGTTTCATTACGTTCAATAAGGCTTACTATTATTTATTATTTGATCTGTTTTCTGCCTTTCTGGCCACAGGATATTTACTCCCAAGTGAATGGGTATACTCCAATTTTACATTCACACCTCCATAGAAGTATCAATAAACTTAATGGATTCATCAATTCTAAATGGATACATAAAAGATAACATAGCATATAGTCAAGTTTTAAGACGATTTACAAATACTCAACAATAGTATTTAAAAATTGGTAATTTTCCTCTCTAAGGTGCAAAATAATAAAGCATATTTTTTGGCTCTTACATGCACATGCCCACTCACATATTCTAAAAGCCTAGACACATTCCTGATTGACAGAGGAAGAGCCTCAATGCCAACCAGGGGCTCACACATTCCCAAATATTAGTTTAGGACAGCCTTCTCCAGCCTCCTAGATATATGGACTAGAACACTCTTCATAAGGCAGCATAACAATGGCCATGCCAAATTAGAGTAATGGGAACTGTAGAGCTATACCTTTGGAGGGCACTAAGATCGGAAAGAGAGCTAGTTTGGTGTAGCGGTTAAGGCACCAGGCTAGAACCCGGGATACTGTGAATTCTAGTCCTGCCTTAGACACAAAGCCAGCTGGGTGACCTTGGGTCATTTGTACTCTCTCAGCTCTAGGAAGGAGGCAAGGGCAAACCACTTCTGAAAACATTGCCAAGAAAACTTCAGGGACTAGTCCAGGCAAGCACCAGGAGTCAACACTGACTTGAAGGCAACAAACAAACAAACAAACAAAAACGGGGGGAGAAGCTGATGAGGCAGAAGGCAGGCAGGCAGGCAGGCAGGCAGGCAAATGGCTGCCTCATGAAATATCTTCACGAAATAGAGATACAAGTGAGAATACTGTACCTTCTCCCCTTCTGTAGCAATTTGGATAGCATTTGGAATAAGCCGAGCCGTCTTCTCTTTGGTCATGAAGGTTATGTCCTTCAAAGCGATAGAAATCTGAAGTTCAAAACACACATGAAATAAGCTATCTAAAACCTTACACTGAAACTACAGAAACATAACATGCTGAAACAAGTATAATTAAAACAATAATTTTCACATGATTTAATTTAATTCTGTATTACTACTCATATCAAAACCCATCCTTTAAAAAAATTGGAAGAGTAGAGCTAAAGACAACCTAAACTAGAGATTGTGCTTGTTTTCCTTCCTTATGAAAACTGTGCAATCTGAGATAAAATAGAAACCTTACCATAAAAATGCAGACTTAAATTCTTAATGTGGAAGGACTACCTGTACCAATACTCTGTATGTGTGCGTGTGTGTGTATGTGTGTACATGTGTATTTATGTGTACATACAGATATACACAATGTATTTTGGACACACGCACTTCTTAAAGCACACATGCCTTACCACAGTCTCCCATCTGAAGATGTTGCTGTAGAAACAGACCCAGTTTTCAGACAGATATAAGCGTCCTTGAAGGAGGATATCTTTTTGGAGGGCACAGGCATAATCTAAACAAGAAAAGCATGACATCTTTATAATATTTTAAAAGTGTAACCAAACACATAATTAAGCTCATCAGTAATTATTTTCATTAAGTATTTATTTGTTAGCTATTTTGTTAAACTAAACACATTTCCTATATTGCTTGTAACATTTTATTTTTTAACAGCTTCAATTACTTTTCATACACTAGACATTTTAACTATTTTAAAGAATGCAGAAAGTTAATGCTAATACGGAAACCTACCTGTTTGGCTCCTTGATGGAAAATGTTGAACTTACATTCTATCCCTGATCTTCATGCATATCTTAAAGCATATATTTAATGCTAGTCATTAGGCTAGGCTTAATTCTGTTAGTTCACTATATATGAAAAATGTCAGCTTAAAATCAAGGCTGCCTACAGACAAAAATAATTTTGAATGGGGATCCTATTATGGGAGCAAATTCATTGGACTTTATTATAGTGTGCAAACGTCTCTCTCATAACTAAGTTCAGGAGAAACTGGATTTCTTTCTAGCAAAAGGTGGGTGTGTACAGCTATAATTGACTCTAATGATGCCAAAAAGTTGACTTCACAAACTTTTCACTCCTTCCTAAATAAGTTTGTTTAAAGTATGTAATCCTCTCACCTTCTAGCAGCTATGAGTAATCCACCACCCCTAATTATTATCAGAAGCAATAAACTATACTTTAGAGTTAAGCTACTCCTCAAGAAAGTCCACTAAATCTGACAAGTATATTCATTTCAAGCAACTTTTTTCAGCTACATTAGAAAATACTATAAGTCTTCAGCCAAAAGAGAGCCTTTTTAATTACAACTTTCAACTTCTAAATTCTTACTGTGTTATTGTTTAAGTAAATACTGTAAAGAAGCAAAAATTAGTACACTGAAGCATGATACAAAGGATAAAGCCAAGAGATTAAGAATACAGGGAATAAGACAAGGACATGTAATGTACACTTGCTTGTATAATTTAAGTACAGTATGTATAAGAAATCCTTGTGTTGACGTTAGAGATATTCTGGGTGGGAACATGAATGTGTACATAGTTTTGGATGCAAAAAATACCATGTTGGCTGAAATTTGGAATGATTTGCAGTCAGAGATTATATAATGCAATTAGGAGCATTAATCTATCAAAGACCAAAGTAGTGGTGTTTGACAGAAAAATGGAGTGGACAACTGCAAATTATATCTAAATGGTGAAAAACTAAGCAAGTAGATGAATGTATGTTTCTGGGAATAATGTTTACTAAAGATGGGGAAGTGGATCAGTTTTAACATTTGCAAATGTCGGTAGAAACAGCATTAAGGGAAAACATTAGCCGAAGTTGATGCAATGGAAATGAGCTGCTGTGTAAAACAAAAAGAGATAAAATCAAGAATGAATTGGTGCTGAATGAAGATGGATTGAATACAAAAGTGAGTAAACCATGTGAAAACAAATTGTTGAAATAGTTTGGTAACACAGAGCAAAGGAAGATCCAGGTACAGGTGAAAGAGGGATACAACTGTTTCAAAAGGTATTTTTGAAGAAATATAGAAACATTTAGTTAGGAATCTCCAATTAGACCTTTTGATTTATTCTGATGCATGTATGCTAGTTAAACCTTCATTGCCTTTTGTCTATCTCTGTATAAACTGGGGAACAGAATACAGAGTATTATATTTGAATTATGTTGATGAATATAGCTTTACAGACTTTAAATAATATTTTTTCCTTGATAAGCTGTAATTCTGTAAAATCTGGAATCAAACAATAAAACCAGCAGTTTGTAGCAGACCAGCACCATCCTGTGGTCTGAGTGAAGCATTACACATTATTTTACATTTTGTGTGTACTTTAATTAAGTTGCAAGTTGTTGCCTCTCTCTGAGTCAATCAGATCTGAAAGTTTTTTCTTCTTTAACTTTGAATATCTGAAATGTGATATTTATCAAGAAGGCATTTACATAATAGACTTTTTCTAATTCTTTTATTAACAGCTGATTTTGTATCTCTCTTGTGAGATTGGCCCAAGCCTGGGGAGGAAATGGGCTGATACCCCTTGCCACATGCCTTGATACTACAGGGTCAGGAAGGAGCATTGTATAATTTCCTTTTTTTTTTTTTTAAACTACAGTTCATACTAATAATTATTTACCTAAAATTCTGTATTGGAAAGTTCAATGACATTTTACTGCCTTTGTCATTTTTCTTACCCACTACGAGCCTTTCCAAATCTGGCAGATGTGAGAATTGTTTCTTGAATTCTTCATTCCGATATTTGTAAGTAGAACTTGAGATCTGCAAAAATGAGAAATTCAAAAATATTTGTTTTGGGTGTTTTAGAAATATCAGAGACCCTTGCAGAAGACAATAATCAGAATGAATACAGTTAATATATTAATGAATTTTCTCATTAAGAACGAATCCAGCTTACCTTTGATTTACTGGAGACAGTGCTACATTCAGAGTACTGCCAGGAAGGGTTATAGAGATTATTTTGGAGCATGGATTTCTTAGTTGATAACTTACTGTTTTCCAATATCATCTATTTATAGGCTATTGAAACAATTTCTGAAAGAAGATCTAGAAAATAAGTTTCAAACATTGGTTCAGGCTGCTAATTGTTTTCTTAGTTGGCAAAGACAGCTAAGAGCATGCATTCAAACACACACACACACAGACGCAGGAAATAATCAATTTAGGTTTCCAATACTGCAGGAAAGATTATTTCACGATCAAATGCTATTTTATTCCTTTAGCAGACTGATTTAGCCATTTTCTTTGTGTAAAGGAAAGGTGTCTGCAGGCTCACATACTGCCCAGCCCAAGGCAATATAGGTAAAAATAAAAAATCTGGGGAGCTAGCATTCCATACTCTCAGATTTCTTGGCTCTTAATATTCCCTTTATACCACTGTGTCTTTTTTCAGTGAGCTGAATAAAAAGCCTTTTTTAAAAAAAAGGTGCATTTAAATAAGAAAGCAAAATAAAGTTATCTATTCTTATCTCAAGAAAAGATTGTGGAATGTGAGGTAGCTCAAATAAAGCTTTTGTTTTGTTAGAGACCAGAGATATACACTCTTGAGGGTAATCCACAAGTTGATTTTTCCATGCACAATAATTTTTGGTAAAGAAGCCATACAGAATGGAAGGACAATTAAATACTCTTAACATAGCTGCTCCAACAATTAAAAGGCAACCTTCTCATGCCTAACTATGAATGTTTCCATCCACTTCAAGTACAGATGAATGAAATTAAATAAAAAGATATATGATTGTATTCTCCCATCCTTATAAAATCATAGCCATACAGAAATGAGACCGGGTTGCCCCCCAACATCTGCCCTCCTGGTCATTTCTTCTGATCCTAATATAGGACACTCCCAAACTTCCACTGGCCGAAGAAGGGAAAAATACAAGCCTCTGTAATTCTGCTTGGAAAATAAATAACATCAGAAGAGAAATCAGTATCAAGCAAACTGTCCCTGCTCTACTTACTCCCAGGCTTAATATAATTTTCCTGGAAATAAAACGAAAACAACAGAATGAACACCGAAAGTAGGTTAGATTATGTATGTAATATTGCTGGCTGAAGATAACCGTGGGTAAGTCTCTCTGACATCACTACCACGGGAAGCTCTGCTGTAGCTCCCAAATACCCCAAATTGATATGTGCTGTAAGGGAACAGCACTGTTAACACCTGGATAGCAGCATCCAGAAGTATCCCATGGAGTCTGTAAAATGGCACCTCTCCCCCCCACCCCCAAATAATAAAAACACAGCCCCACAAAATTTCTTTTTGGCCATAGCAGAAGAAAACCTGTAACACATTCAAGACAGAAGCAGCAATATATAGCTGGGATAACCTGACTTTCTTTCCAGGTGTAAATCAAACTTCCTGTTTTTTAAAGATAAGCGTGCCACTCTTTGCAAAGACTATTAAACACATTTAAAGCAGGTCTAATGCTCTTCCAGAAAAACACCAGACATGGATATATAAGGAGCCTGCATAATCCCTGTATGGTGCTTTGCGAAGCCAGTAGGCATGTATCACATTTGTGTAGCTGCTCATCTCACATAGTGACTCTATCCTTCATACAGCCCCAGCCAAAATAGTCTTGAATGGCTGTGCCAAGTGATCTGAGGGAGGGGGCATGTCTGGAGCACCCAAAGGGGCCAAGTATGTCATTGCCAGCGTTGTAAATGAGACGTTTCAGGACATGCAGATAGTAAGGGTTGTGCTGGGAAAACTACCCTCTATTTTAAAACAGGAATGGCTAAAGATCAGTCCATGCTCCCTGTAGACAAGACATGTATTCTAAAAATGGTTAGCTAGATTTCTTTGTGCCATGGCTTGTGGAATACACGGATCAACTCAAGTCTAACTGAGCCTTGACTCAGTAATCTAGCTGCTGTGAAGAGTTGCAAGATAAGGCACTCCTGTACTCCTTGTACCGTGCACATATACAACCAAACGTCAACACAAATGGCATATACTTACCCATTAACCTTTATATCTTACTAGGTGACAAGAAAATACAGCCTTACTAACACTAGAATACAGTATTCTGTAGAGGGCCATTCTGTTGAGGGCTGCAGGGAATGCGGGCGGTGGGAGGATACTAAATGTGAAATATCACATTACTTCCTGACTTGGCCTCCATCTTAGTGATTCATGTTTAGTTTATATCATAGGTACAGTTAATTTCTTACCAATGTCGTTATTGCACATTATGGATGGGTCATGTGGTGCAGACTTACAAGTACTTGAAGGCTCATAAACTATATTTGCTATCAGTGTAGAAATTCTGGGATTGGTAGAAAAAAAACATATTCCCCAGCTACATGTCCCACACTTTATACTATTTCCATTTCAGATTTTCCAGTTTAGTGTTTCTATTAAGACTGTGCATGCTTAATGCTTGCTTAGCAACATCACAATCTAGAAGCATTTTTTTTTTTGCACTATTTACTCTGCATTAACATTTTAACGTATTTTACTCTTAATTCTAGATTTTAAATTGAATTGCTAATTTCCTTACCAGAATTTGGTGAATTTTTGTTGTTGTGCAAAGAATTTACTTGCTTACTTTAAATGTGTGTGCTGGTCTAAGGTCCAAAGACCAGTGGCTGGCTTTGAACCAATAAACAATTGTTTGGATCCTCTCCAGTTTGTTACTTGATGTGTTATTTTGCCACAACACTAGAAACAGTTGTGGAATATGATCTGTGTGTGTGTGTGTGTGTGTGTGTGTGTGCTTGATTTGCTGCATTTCTGATAATAAGGAGCCAAGAAAATTGCGCATGCTCAGCTAACAAAACTGCAAGACAATAAATATATGCAGCACCATAAGGAATGGGTTAGCTTAGACAAATGCACAGTTCTATGCAACAATGAATGTAATGTCCCTTGTACACACAAAAACTCCCTTAGGTAATTTTATCTCAAAAGAAAGAAAACAGCTCTACCCAACTTCTTCTTGTCTCTAAGCTTCCTCAGAGAACAGATCAGAAAGTTCTTCCACCTAGCTTTTACAGACAATTCTCGAAAACCCAATTGACAATATCCACTTTGAGTACAGCATCACATACTGTATGAGCAATGTGTTGACTGTCCTTGCAGCTCCTAAATGGAGAAATATTTTAGGCAAGCAGCCAAATGTTCCCAACTTTCTGGGAATGCTGCCCGAATACTATTGTTCCAAACCACAATTCCTGCCACAGTTTGCCTCAGGTTATCTCCTTCACCATAATCTCCTTCATCTCTAGCACAACCTGTCTATCTGGACATGAAATCAGGGTGCTCTGTACAGGGCATAGGGAATAGCTTTGAAGAACGGGAGGAAGAGATGCTACCAAGGCAATGAGCCCAGGCCAAGAAAGTAATGTGAATAAAGGTCTCAGACAAGCCCCTCCCCAGTTCATATGAAGATAAAGTAAGGGAAGGGGAAGCACATTCAGACTTGCAAGATTCTGTTACAACACCTGTTACAATAAAAGTAGTACTGACCTATATGGCATTGCTTTCTTAGTCTGGTTTTCTTGTTGGGCTGACCTGCTGCAATCATGTTTGCCACTACAACTTCCATAAACTCTCACTATTTATCAAGCTGGTGGGGGCTGGAACCCAGTGACAACTGGAGGACCATCTGTTTCTTGCATTTCATATATTGAACTGATTTGTAACTTTCCTCTTCTTCCCAATCACTAATGGAAAAGTGTTTCAAAAGTCCAACCTAGATGCTTTACTTACAGTCATTTTCCATGGCTCTTCGTTTCCCCAGAGCTGCTCTGGGGAGAGCAGTCTCCTAAGCAGAAGGTATTCTTCCTGTGGGCTACTGGCAGACAGAAGTCTGGACATTAGTGTGATTTGGTCTCCGTCTTTGGCCCAGCCTCCCTCTTACTTGTAGAGACTGGAGGAGAAAGATTTTGAAACAGTTCAATTAACTATGCACCACTTGGGCAAGCAAGAGTCTTTGCCTTCAATTTGACCAGGGAAAACAATGCTCAATGGAATCAGATACTTTTGTGTCATTAATTATTTTTCTAAGATGCAGATTAATGGATTAGTAATGCAGAAATGTTATTACTTCTTCACCCACTAGCAAGGAAGCAAAATAATTGACATTGCATTGTAAGATATGGGCTTCAGATGCTGAACAATATGAAGACAAGAAAGTGGGGGTCATACGTATGTAATAAAGGAGAAGGGGAACCTTCTTTTGTATGAATCTTTTTGCTTATTAAGATCCTCACCTGGGGTCTTGCTAAATGTCCCAAAGGCATCATAATAATTCCATTGGACCAAGAAGTGAATATTTTCAGTAGGTGCATCCAAATTTAGTAACCCTCTCATAGCAGAAGCCTACCATGCAAATGTATCAATAGTTCGGCTGCATTGTAAAATCCTCCCACTGTATAGTAAGCAATGTAAGCATTGGAATAGTTTTTGGAATAGTTTCTTTGAATGCTTTTTGATTGTTTATGCTTCCATTGCTCTTAATTTATATGGTCTGTTTTTATAGATTTTTTTTCATAGAATCATACAGTTGGAAAGGGCCAGGAAGGTCATCTAGTTCAACTCACTGTTCAGTGCAGGATCCACTACAGCATATCTAACAGAAGACCAGCCAGCCTCTGTTGAAGACATCTAGTGAAGAACTCACCACATCACATGGCAAGCAGGTTCCACTAGTTGACAGCGCGTAGAGTCAGGGTGTCTTACCTGAACCTCCTCTTTGTAGTTTTAACCCACTGGTTTTGATCTTGTCCTCTGAGGAAATAGAGGATAAGCACAC